GAAAAAAAGTACCATTGTTATAAATAACATTCAGTTGAACTAAACTATGCATGGCTATTTAAATATATTTACACATGGCTTGTGTATATCGTATATATACATATATATATTATTCATACCTTCGGTGTATAGGACACAAGCAGATTTTGACATCAAATTTTGGGGTAAAAAAAGTGCATCTTATACACCGAAAAATACGCTAATTAAATTCTGTACCAAACCATAAAAAAAGGTCCTAATGTGCACTTTGACCTACCTATATTTAAAGGTGTAAGATGAAATATTTAAAACAATTTTCAATCTGCAATTCTTAGTCTCATGACTTGGTGGTGCTGTGACTTTTCATTTATCGATTTTTCTCTTCCCTTATAAGCACTTCAGATTGTGCAACCAATTAGGAGCATGTTTTATAGATACTGAAATCTATAACTTTTTAACATCTTGCTTTATTGAGATAACTATATTTTTCAACACACATTGACACATACCTCTCATACCATGTCATTTAAGAAACATCTATAATTCTTTCTGACACTGCCTGTTGGTCAAGTTTATAAGTTTGTTTAGGTTTACCAAAGGTGGAAGTTTGCAAGAAAAGCTGTATTCATACAGCCAAAAGTTAGGATCATATTTTTGAAATTGATTGAGAGGTGTGCACTTAATATCTGAAAGGTGCCTGTTAGATGTAATAGTGTTAAAGCAGCAATAAAAGGGCTAAAAATAAACTGTTGTTCTGCAAAAATCTAAATTAGTAAATGAAGAGACTAAATGTACTTACCGTTCTCCTAAAAGGTCTTTTCCATTAAGTTCATACACAGCATCATCAGCATCACGATAGTCTTCAAATTCCTGAACAAAGTAAAATGATTCCCGATATAAGAATAAATTACATGCTGGTGATAAAAAATATCCTAAAATAACTTTCCACACAAAAATAATAAATCCTTGAAAACAGATTTGTAATTTGATACAAAAAAGTCATAAATAGATCATTAGAAAGTTTAGTGATGCTCAGAATATATTGGGATATATTTTCTTCAACACGTTTAAGACCCGAAAGAAATTCATCACAGCATCATATCAACTTGTGCAATATAAAATTCTCATGACAACATTTGTTGATTTTTAAACATACAAGGTTATCATATCTTGAAAATAGCAAATATTTATCAGAATTGAGCATAATAATCTCACTGAAAACTTTTGGAGATACATCTATGAACTAATTACAGAATTTTTAGTGTAACAAAATGGTTTAATTTTCACATAAATGTTAGATTTGATTTTGTTTAACTCTTTCAGCATGGGCTTGGTCCCTGGGACCAACCTCATAACCATTTTGTGTTTGTTACAGTTTTCATGCTATAACTTGTAAATAAGTAAGCAAATGATAACGAAATTTGGCAGATTTTCAGTAAACATTACAATGCTTTCATATGCAAAATATAAATTTTTTTCATATTAAGTCTTAAGGTTTATAAAGCGACGTTTTTCTAGTGTATATTTTATTGAACTGTTATTTCATGAATTTAAGTCAATACATTTGGTATCAAATTGTAGATTATAATTCAAATTTTAGTACTATACATTACTCAATTTAAAAGTAAATATAAAAAACACAGATAAACATCAATATCTTTTGTCACGTGGTATGTTGATTGCAGCACTGGTTCAAACTAGATGTTTGTGAAGTCAAAAGTCAGTAGTTTCGTACGAATTAGAAACTCAAATTACCAATACTGACATGCTAGAATATAAATAAGAACATCTTATCTTTTCTATTTGCTAAGATATTGCTCACGTAATAAACCAAATACAGTGGCACCCCACCCACCTCTTTCCATTTTTGGAAACTCTTTTTATGAACACATACTTCTATATATGACATGAATAACCAATCAGAAGCTCAGAATGTCCCCCTAGTTGCTTTCTCACCCATTTTAATGGACTTGGATGATTTTTTCTTTCTTTTGAACCAATATTTCAAGGAAGTAGGGTGTGTCTTTAGTCTGCTCAATATTTCATATTTTTTTAGACATCTTAGTTACTAATCTTGATAAATTACAGTAGAATTCTATGGTATTGATGTAGTAATTTATGATTTTTTATTATTCAAATATATATATAAAACCTAAAAAAATTATTTTGTTTCATATCCTCCACGTGCAAAATTTTAAAAGGCTTAGCAACCTACGTCAAGCAGCAACCGAGTACAATGGTCATAACTAGAAGAGATAATTGTATGCTTTACCCCTTTATTTACTGTTCTATGTTTTACGAAAAATAAGTTTAAGAACTTATTTCAAAATGGCAATCTATATACATATATAATGTATAATTGAAATGTGACTATTTTACAAAATACTAGTCTACTAAAACACAGCCAAGACAAGTTAATTTGCACAGACCAAAGGTCAGTTTTATGTTATTGGATACGATAACATGAGTGCACATGTGCAGCATCATTGTAACTTCTGTATTGTTAGCCAGGCATGGCTGAAAGGTCAATATAATAAAAATAAGAAATATATATATAAATGTATAATTTTATGAGATTTAAGCTATTTAGTGTAAACATTTATGTTTTCATGTTATAATTTGTGTGTTCATTCTAGAATGAAAAACATATAATTTATATTTATTTCCTAATTTTTATGGTGGTTGCAAGATCTGTCAAATCTACCAAACCCGTACAGAGATTCGTTACTGAAAATAATAGATAAAATATAAAGGTTTTTCTTAAGAAACATTTGATAACTTTCTGATGCATTAAAGTATTTTTAATCTTAAAATGAAAATTACTTTGCATGTTAGATAAGCAACATTCAAAAAGAAAAAAAAAAGGCACGAGAAAAACATTGCTTTACTAACCTTAAGACTTAATAAAAACAATTTAATATTTTGCATTTGAAAGAATTGTAATGTTTATTGATAATATACCAAATTTCATTAACATTTGCTAACTAATTTAAAAGTTATAGCATGAAAACTATAACAAGCTCAAAATGGTTACAAGATGTCCCAGGGATCGAGCCCGTGCTGAAAAAGAGTTATGTTTCCCCTACATGTTTATTCCACTGTAGTAATTGTCTTCACAATGAATTTTTTGTATAAAATACTTTGTTTCATTATTTGATTGACCTTTAAGCAGACTAAATAGACATGCTGAATGTCATACTTTTGCGCTTGTATAAATGTAACTTTGCCATCTTCATTACAGTTTTCAACACATAACATATATTATTATATGTATACCATAAATAAGATTTATATATCAAGTGAGATAAAGACTACTTATTGATGTTAATTTCAATACTTCGGTTGATTTTTTTATTGTACAATTTTTTTTTTTTTAACAAAGTGGCCTGGTGCACATGTTCTCAGACTGATTATTTGCACATACATCACCACTGACTATCAGTTAGCCATTACACAACACTTGAATACAGGCATAGTAACTGGCTATGTTATGTGGTGATTGTTGTTGTATTATAATTCATAAGTTGACCAAGAAATTCAAATATATGTTTCAAAAGGTGTAATGTCATTTATTTGAAATGTTTGTGTTTCAGATTTGGTGATGTTGAGTTATTAATTCTTATTTATAAAAAATATGAAGTTGACATAATATCATACAGTAGCAGTGAAAGGGTTAAATACTTTACCTTTCACCAAAAATCTCAGAAAACCATGTTAGGCCAAATACAGGGTTTATTACAAACTACAGGGAAACTATATTACAAATTATTGAAGGTAAATATACACTTACCACAAAACCAAAACCATTTTTTATTAGAATTTCTCTTATTCTTCCATAACCTTTAAAGAATCTTTCCAAGTCCCTTTCACGACAATCATGACTTAGTCGACCAATATAAACTCTTGTCCCCATTTTAAGCCTGTAATAATAATAATAATTGTTAAAACCAGACAATGACAAGCATTAAAAACATACATAAAGTTACAGATTTCATGATCCTGAACTGTAGACAAGCAACAGCAAGATTATACATGTACATATATCTGAAAAAGATTTCTTTTTCACCAGAGGTGAAATAGAAAAGTGAATTTGTAATGTAGAAACATAATGCATTCCTCGATTTGCCATACACTCTACTGTGGACTTCAGTTTCACCTGTTTATGGCTCATCTGCAATGCTTGGGACAACAAACCAAAGAAATACAATTAGGCCTCTTACAATGGTGAAGTGTATATGATGATATACTATACAGTGAAAAACTCAAAACCCTATATATAATGGCAAAATTATTTAACTGAGCTGGGTAATCAACTCAATTATGTATAACCATTGATTACATGACGTAGTGTCAGTTAAAATAATTTATCACAATCAAATTGATCAATGTCATGCAATAACCAACTGAAATATTGCCACTATATTATTTTCAAATAATTCAAGGTTCTTTGGTCAATCAATGTGTTTTTTGATTATTTTAGATAACATGCTCCTTATGTTCTATTATATGGGATCTCGCACCATTTTCAGGAACAATAAATTATTTGTTACTGGTAGTTAATATGGTAATAACAATGATTATTATGATTTCTTACTTACCCTTCATCTCGCTCATTAATTGGTTAATCATACCTAGATTAGATCTTGCCCACGGATATGGGTTCCACAAAATGGGTAGCCATGTCTCACATACACAAATTACAGCTCACTAGTCCAAAAAAATGTTGGAGCAAGACCCCATATAATTGAACAAATTGGGTATTGAGCATGTCGTGTTGGGATCTCAGTAATGTAATAAGGTTTCTATATGCATATGTACTCTGTCTGACACTTATTTTTTTCTTAACAGTCCAACATAGCTTTTCCAGGTAGTTTTTTTAAAACAATCTTTTTTCATGGGGTGGGAGGGCATGAAGTATCCATTAACTCAGCTTCTTAAAAAAAAGTAAATATCTTAGAAATGTATCATTACAATTTTAGACAATTATAATAATTTATTACTGATTATTTAACTGCCAACTATTTACTCTTTTGATTACTTGTGATTTTAATCATTTGATATTACTCATTATTGTCTGGTCTATACCTACAAAGGACCATCTTCACTCATTAACAGTAAACATTTGAAAATATTTGTATGTGCATGGAGGCTTTAAAAGAATTACAGAAAATTTTTAAGTTATTGCATTTGAATATGTGATTTCAACCTTGGATCTTAGTGTTATGATATGCCTTTATGAGGTAGTAATTATATACACAATATATGTTCAGAAATATTCATGTTTCATACAGAACAGCAAAGAACCATAACTGTTGTAGGTGTATTATATTTTTTTTTTTTTACATACTTAGGCTAGATAAAATCAGTTTCATTTATGATAGGCTAAATTTGGTAACTTTAGGTTAGTTAGTATGCAGCTCATATAGCCCAAATATCAGGCTAGGTACTCATGGTTTGTACAGGTTATTGAAAGAGAAATTCCAGAACCAAACTGTCACTTTCAAGAAAAGGTTCTAACAATAACCCATACATTGTAATGCAAGTAAAAAAAGAAAAATGTTTCAATTGTCAAAATCTTTCAAGCATAATTTTAATCACACACAGTACACATTATACACTTTCATAGCAGCTAATTAGCACATATGTTAACATCCAGCTAAGCTTAATTGAATTTGCACTTCTTTGGGATATTTCGACTTGTTCTATTGAAAATGTACTAAAGAGACTATTCAAAGAAATTTTAATTGACCAATTGTTACTGATCAAAGTACTAACACAACATTCATCCTTTACAGACCCTAAACTTCCAATTGTTCTCAACTCCAGTTTAATAAAAAGTGGTAAAGCCTTGCATCTTTCTCCCAAATAGTGTGTTTTGGCTGGAGCTAAGCACTAGTGTAACCAAAACCAAATATACACTGAGTGGTCACAAGTAAATAGACACCTAATTTTTCGTCATTTAACTGATTTATGCTAACTAATTTGTGTTCACAGAGCACAATATAAGTACTCATACTTTAAAGTACTTCTCTGGAACCACTGGATAAAAATTGTTAATTTTTTCAAGATTTCCACTACTGACAAATTTCTTCATAAATTTCCATTTCTTTCCAGGATGATTTTCATAACTTGGGTGAACCCTAGGTATTCTTTTCAAAATTTTATTTACTATTGTACCATATCCCAAACATTAAAGATAAATTTCTTTAAGGCCTAATGCTACACCACTTAGCAGCTTCAATAATCTCCTCTGGTGAAACATGTTAATATACATTTTTCATTTTACCAACAAATACTAGAAACATATAGACTTTTATCCAAACAAAAACATTCTGAAAAGAAAATTACATTTATTTTAAATTCAAACACAAATTATCAGAATGTTTGAGATTTTTATCCAACCAAGTTAGAATCCACCTGATGATAGGTGTGGTGTTTCACCTCATATGGAAATAAATTCTAGGCTATTGTACCTATTCCAATATTTTAGCTATTAGCAGTAGCTCACCTGGTTGCAATTAAAATGTAATATTTCAAAAACAGTCATGTAGACTGTTAAAACTAAATTGCCTTAACAATGGTTATGTAGTTATTTATTTGATTAGCCACACAGCTACTATTCAAAAAGCTATAAAGTATAACATACACAACAGTCATGCATCTCATATTCAAAATATTATATCAGACTGCCAGCAAAAAAAACATTCATGACACTTTTGACAACTTCCTAGTTTTGTCTCACTGTCCAAAAAACATCTCTGGTGGTTTTTTGTTTCTAAAGAAATTATATCAACAGTTCTTAAAAGTCGTCACATTCATACAATACTTTTCATTTCACATATGTAATCTTAGTGCACTTTCACCCATCTTGCATACATCTATTATTTTGTTACGAGCAGCACAACACACTACATGACATCCTTTGTAGTCTCCAACCCATTTTAATACATCTTTGTTTAACTATTACCTATTGATGACAGATGAAATAACATACCACTCTTGAAAATAGGCTTACATCAAACTTCATGTATTTTCAGTAAGAAATATACACATTCAAAAATATTTATTGCCATTTTCCCTTACTCACTGTTTTGCTTTAAATTTGACATTTGCTGTGTGATAATGATGTTGGAAAATCAAGTTAAATCATTTTCTGGAGGAGAAGAATTAAAACAATTCATGCTTCTTGGAAACCATGGAAGATTTGAGAAGAATGTCATTTTGGTGAAGACAAAGACAACTAATAGTAATAAAAGCAAATAACTTAGCATTTGACTGACCTCATCCAACTTTTCAATGGCTTAACTGTAGAAACAAATGGCATGTTATGATATAAATTTTTGAGAATACTTTGATTGAAGGATTTTTTTAAGTGATTTAGTTGAAATTCTCTAAAATGACCATTACATTAGTTAACCAAAACTAAACTGAAAAGTACCTTTTAAATGAGGAGATCAAATGCATTTATAATCTGAAGATGCAACTCTCAAAGCCTATAAAAGCAACACTAAACACATGAAAAAAACAACTGAACAGAACTTTGTTACAAATGAAAAAAAAATGTTTTAAATTTCAGAAACACATAGGACCAACTAAACACTAAAGCCTTATAATGTTGTAGCACTTTCCCAAAATTACCACCAGCAAGGCTTATAATATTACATTTGACCTATACATCAACAATTCCAATTCATTAATTCACATTCCACACATACTTTATACCTCCCTCTCAGTTATTATAACCAATACAAAATTCACATTAAAAAAAATTCGAATATGTGATTTAAACATAGGCAATCCTCTTTCCCCTGTTCTCATCAACATATTTATGACAGATCGCAAAAACACAAAAAAGGCAAATTTGAATTAAAGGACTTATCAAGCTCTTTGCAAATCTTGTATATACATGATGAACACATGCATACCCTACCATAACGTTTTCATTATTCTATACAATACAATGTACATTACTATATAATTTACTAGTAATTTTAAACTAATAATGCATAAAATCCAAACCAGTCACATATATAATCAATTACATATTGCCTAAACAAAGGTTTTTAGTTATCATTTTATTATATGCTATTCAGTATATACACAGTATTCATATATAACTTCAGTCCCTTACTTAAAAGATGTTACCATGTCCTTGACTATGAATAATTTAGTTATTTAATAAACAGTAATCTATAATTACTATAATACATGAATAAGTAAATATATAACTGCTACGAAATAATATTGGGAACATCAATTTTAACTCTCAACTTAAATGAATTCTTATTAACGCTTATGTTAATTACCACAAACTAATAAGTTTCTTTTTTCAAGTTGTGTGTTTCTATTGTAATTTTTGGATTGGCACAAAGTACAAAATGTGCTATCTCAGTATCTGAATCTCATTCTCACTATCTGTGTTACGACTACTGAAAACTTGAATTTGAAAAAGTACCATGGGTATCGAAACCCGAGCTTTAGCATCACAAGCCTTCAGACCTACCTATGACTATGAGCTAATGGTAGGCATATAATTTACTAAACCAAAGTAAAAGTAAAATACAACAAATAATTATATTTGTATGCTTAAGAATAGTAGTTAGAGTTAGGCCTAACGAAATATCAAACCTCAAAGTGTTCAAACTGAACTGGTATGTGTCAGTTTTAAAACTTAGTTAAGGCAAATTTAGTAATAATATTCTGGCTAGATCAAGTTGACCTACTTAACACAGATGAAAAGCAAATCAATCCCCATATTCTAATTTATAAAATAGCCGGAGATACAAATTTCAAGCTTAGCAAACTCACCAACTTAAATGTAATGTAACCTCGACTTAATAACACTCAAAAATATGTATAAAAAACACAAAAATAATCTTAAAAGCTGATATTCCTAAACTAGACGTTTAAAATAATTAAAGCATTATATTAATTACTTCGTACTACCTTATTAAAGAACGATTTATAAAGATGTTTCCCACGCAACTAACGAACTATCGTTCAGCATATAATCTTTGTTCGTAAGAAGAATACTACGGGGTCTCCAAACCTGATTAAAGGATGCGTCATGCATTCACGATGTTTCGGAATCCACCAGGAAATTTATAATGTATCGTAAGGTAAGGGACCGTTTGTAATTACATAATTTAAAAAATTATCAAACATTGTTCGATAAGGGATTATAAAAGTATGAACTCTATTCAATGGCGTACATAAAAAATGGTGACAAAGTTAATAAATTTTGGTTATCTTTTTCGTATTAATGCCTTTCTTCAATAAATATGTCTAACAGAACATTAATTTTATTTTTTCTCACTTCACACCAGTCAACATGAAATCTTGTTTTACGCCCCCAGTGGCTCAGCTATAAGACTATAGCCTTACGACAGTATAAATCGGGTTTTCGATACCTGTGGTGGGCAGAACACAGATAGTCCATTGTATGGTTTTGTGCTTTAAAACAACCAAAAAAATCATTGGCTTCTCCAAATTGTTATTATTTTCTCATACAATAAAAGTTTCAGGTTATGTATTAATATATTATCTCCTTTATTTTTAGTCTCAATTCTAGACTTGTAATTCCGCTAAAATATAAAGATCTCAGAGACAATATTGTTTGGTTTTCTTTGCATTACTAAAGTGCAAATTTGGTTAATGAAATAGCTGTTCACCTGCTTCAGTTCATGTTAAATGTGTATCCACTTTAGCTGACATTAGTGTGGCTGCCTGTTGGTTGTATTTTTTCTATCATTCAACATCTATAGTGCTTCAAGGAAGCCTTCGCGATAATTGTTTTATAGAATATGTGTCACCTGTGTCTATATGATGATGATTAGTTGAGCTTGTACTTCCTAGGTGCCCATCTGGCCTGAAAAACTCATTGGTAAACTCTGCAAGCAGCTTACTCAGTTACAGTCATTGATTTACTTTGAGGCATCTTGTACATCATCCGGCCAGTGATCTTAAATGATCTGACTACCATGCATTTGCTTTCGTAAAGAATGCAGCTGAACTAATACAAGCTATATGAGTAGATTCAAAAATCTTGTTCATAACCATTCCAGTTTTTGGCAAAATAGACATATGTCCATAATTACAAACCATCACTGGAATAGATTTCGCAGTCAGAGAGATAACTGTTCAATAGCTAAGTACAGCTTAATTTCTGGACAGAAAACATTGTTTTATGCTTGGGTTCCACGACTTCAGAAGTCTGTGGTAATGCATAAAACGGAGTTTTCAGGCACCTACAAAACATTACTTGTGCATTTGAGGGAATGTCAATTTCAATTCCAGATGCACCAATACAATTAATTGTTTTTGAGTTATGGCTGGCTAGCATCGATTGGTTTTCCACAGGTTTGCAGTTCTATCTTCATTAGCTAGAAAAGAAATAACAATATTAACTGCCTGAGGTGTTGGCTATAGTCAAAGTGTCTAGTACACCATGAGTTTAGTCAGAATCCTGGTGGTTCTTGTGTTAATGAAAAACCAAACCTCGTGTTTATGTATTTCCAAAGATACATACCAAGACAATCCCAGTCCTTCATGAAATAAATTGGTCACTACACCTTTGTGACTAAGTCCAACCTGGGATCCACTAGTTTAATGTAGCTGAAGCCGAGTTAGTTACACTTGTTGTCAATCCTGCTCTTGCCTGTATTTCTTGTTGCGCAACAAAATATGGCCAATATATTCCCCAGTGTCCCACCAGTCCACAAATAAAGCAAGTGCTCAATCCATCATATTCAAAACACTATGTGGATACACTTTCCTGCTGCAGTAATGGTGCAGCCATGGTAACAGGCTTTAAGAAGCCTTTTCTACCCATTAATGTTGCAATGCAATATCCGGAGCTTGGAGCAATATATCTTTGGCAAGTCAGTTCATGATATTTATTAATTGTTGGCATTTCCAAAACACGTTCAACCAGAGGCCGAGCCACTGCAGGTACAGCTATTTGCTTTCTCTTCCCCACTAACTTATAGTCACAGAAATGGTTTCAATGAGAAGCAAGATATCCTCATGCTCATGTAGTGTTGCATAGGTTTGTGTATCAAGCCATCTGTGAACTTCTCAATGACACCATTCTCATAATTTGTTTCTGTTTTCCCACATAGCAAATAAAGATCTTCCACTTACATGGCCAACTTCATGTGAGGCCCATGTTTATGAACTACAAAGTATGTTAGGTATATGGCTCGGTCCTCTAATGGTTTGAACATTCTGTACAATTCAGCTATGACTGTTTCCTAATCATCAAGTTATTCTTACCTAAATACTACCCAGCATCAAGAACTACACTGTCCAAGCTGAGCATCAAACGTCGAACAGTCTGAATCACCTTAAAAATTGGTCCACCTCCTTTTTAGTAGTATCTTTGAAGGTTAATAGATTAAATTACTTTATATTATTACTACTGAACTGAAGTAGTGAATACAGAGGCATACGCGTGATTCCTTAGCAAGTCAGCAGTAAATGAACTAGCTCCTCTCGGTATTTGGGCACTTCAGCATTTGTATAAAAACAAACGTCACTATAATAAACATGCCGCCCGGCTGTTTTGCTTACTCTCGAGTTGAATTCAACAATTCTATTCTCTCAGAAGGATTCACAGCAGCACCAGTGGTCCTCAGTGTTTTCCTGAGATGTTTACTGCCCCATCTACAATGAGTTAGCTCCAGCCGGTAATCAACATTAAACAGTAACATTTCCATTGTCATTCTAGTCATCAATGGTTCACTTAGCTGCACAGATTTTCAAAATATTGCAAAAATGTAAAGACCACTCACAGGGTCCCAGGATAGCCAGATTTCAAATTATCATGTTTTCTCCTGGTCTTCTGCTTATCCTAATTTTTGGAAGTGCTAGAGAAGTCAGATTAGTCAGCATCTCCGGTAGTACTAAGGTGTAACTAAATTCCATGACTTGATGACCAAATCAAGAACTCTTGCAGGGCCTAGTATTATGTAAAAGAGCATCCTGCATCTAGAAAGAAACTTCTACTTGCCCTGTACACGTATGCAGATCTTGACTTCGCTCCTCTAGCCATAGCTTCCTTTCTAACATAAATTTTTGTTCTTGAAAAAAAATCATTCATTCTAACAATAATCCAACTTACAATTTACGAGAATACAATAACAAAATATAAAAGTACGTTAAACTTAAACTCTACAATTGAAATCCTTGGTTATAGCACCAAAATCTTTCTTAATAGCTTCGATAAGACTTGCAATATGAAAAATTAATATGCTTGACGCAACTGCAAAGAAAAAGGAATGATACAGTTGTTTCTTAATAAACAATACTTTATTGAACCGATGAAACAGACAAAACAAGCTTGTAATTTCCATGGTGAAAGGCGATACTGATAAATATTTTCACTTTCCGGTTAGATGATGAGCGAATCTAATCAAGGATTAACTTAGAACTTTATTACAATTTAAACTCCACAAGGACTTCCCAGAATGTCATGTCATCAGGCCAGCTCCATTAACAACAACAGAGTTTTCGACTTCTTTATCTTCATGCCAGAAAACTCATAAGACTATTCTAAGGAATTATCCAGCAGTCTACCAGCTATGAAAATAAACAAGTCTTGGAATAAGTCTGTATATCTGCGTGAATGTTCCTAAAGGCAAGATTAGAAGAGATAATTAAAAATATAAAAACTTGTGCTAAATTCAAAAGAGGTATGAATAAAGACATATTCATATACTCCGTAATAGAAAGCTTGTGATACCTAAATATCACAACTACATAAAACTATACAATATCAAGAAGAAAAAAAATACCGATTAACCATGTGAATGACTGCTGATATTCTACTTTCACACATATTCATTTTCGATAATGCAAAATATGAATTAATATTGTTTCTATATAATGTTTACAAGTTATTAGTTTCATAAATGTTCTACAGTATCCTTATTATATCACTTGCTTCATGTTTTGGCTACAAATGGGTTTTCTAGCGATATTCGTAACGTACATTTACAAATTGATTCGTCTGATGTGTTTATGGAAATTGTAAGTGCATTGTTCATTAAAGTATTCCAGTTGTGGTTCGTTTCTTTGTGGACACTTTTCATGAAAGGAAATTATTAAGGCATTACGTAATGGTATGAAACGTGTTGTTACTGGAACCTGCTACTATGTATCACGCTCAATTGCACCACTCTTTTTAATTGGGTTTCATTGGCGCGGAAAAACAGTTTCCTCTTAATGGCAGGGCTAAATGTATACACTGTTTTATTGTAGTAGTGAAAAATAGTACAGTGCAAAGGAAAAAAAAGCGACTTGTTGTCATTACTCATGTAAAAGTCAGTTCACTCTTAACTTGTATGAAATAACTCACAATGAAGTAAAAAAGCTCAAACATTTACTGATTTAGGTTTAACGGTGATTCGGTTAGATTCAAATAAATAATTTAAGATAATCCACAACAGTTTGTACTAGCTTGTTTCATGTTGTTGTTTATTATTATGCACAAAGCAGACTATCTGCGTTCTGTCCACCACGGGTATCGAAACTCGGTTTCTAGCAGTATAAGCCCCTAGACATACCACTGGGGAAGGGGTGGGAATATTATCAAACACTTATCACTGGTACTTTAATTACAGAATTTTTGAAAAACGTTAAAACTCCTGATAGTTTTAACGACGTCTATATGGCTGAGTATAATTTGGTATGTGCCAGCAAAATTACATGAACACGATGTAGAGTTTCTAGTTGTTATGGATTCCTCTACAACTCATTTCTACGATTTCTATTAGTATCGAGAGAAATAGAAATAAATACCAGTAAATAAAAGAAAGGTGTAAAAGTAGTATTTTAACCGCCACTGACATGGTTATTGCTTTTTTCCTATCTCGACATGGTAGACTCATACTTGAAGTTAAATTGAGTTTCTTGTTTTTTAAAAAAGTTGGATTTTGTTTTCCTTTGCGTCAACAGATGGCGCTAAGCTTTTGTTTGTCTGTTGAACTGAGTATAAGAGAATCTCATTAAGCTGGGCAAATTTTAATGAAAATATCAAAGTCTGTAACCGATGCAGTATCTTAAATGTATTTTT